AACTCTTTAATTTGAGGGTGGTAGAGCACTGGAATAGGCTGCCCAGAGAGGCTGTGGACTCTCCTTCTCTGGAGATACTCAAAACCCCCTGGATGCATTCCTGTCCAGCCTGCTCTAGGTGAACCTGCTCTGGCAGGGGGGTGGGACTAGATGATCTCCGAAAGTCTCTACCAACTCCTACAATTCTGTGATTCTATGCTATTCTTATAACAAAATGTAAGGGCACAGTGCTGCAAGCACTTGATTGTTTTCTCCACATCTTGGTGAACCTAGGTGGACTCCAGCCTGCTTTATTGCAACTAGGGGTTTACTGCTGCTGTTCTATGAAAGCCTGAAGTCTTGATTCCTGTTAGTTCTGCGGGGTCATGCTGCTAACAATGAGTATGCTGAAGTGTGGTTTTTGTTATGCAGATGAGCAGACTTGCCTTAATCAGTACCAATTATGCAAGGAAAAGCTTTATGGAGTAGCACTTGTTCCTTATGCCAGAAAAGCTGCATTTCATTAGTTTTGCTCTCTTGGCTACAAGTCAGGATCAAATTGGTGGAACTGACATGACCTCTCCACTCCTCCAAACATGCTCTCCTTCCAAAGAAGTGCTGTTACAGTTTTAGTTTAAGGGAAAACACAATTTACACTCATGCAGTATAGTAGATTAGACAATGCTCCATTTTCTCTTGTGAGTTGGTATGGGACTAAAGATTACACAGATGATCTTCCGTACATGTAACCAGGAGAACTAAGCAAAATGCCAAGGATGGCTTTGTGTGGTTGGAAGAACATGCAGTTTATGGCAGTGGGTTGCACTAACTCTGCTATAGAAGTTGTTGTCTGTCTCTGCTCTACACATCAAGAAGTTTTGTGATGGACATGTGTTGTAATTAATGCTTAAATTTCCAATTTTGGGTACTCAAAATTAGAGCTCAGTGATGAAATGAGAAAGGGAATCTAAGATGTTTGAGGTAGCACCCCACCATAGGCAATTAATAGCGAGATTGATGCATGTGACTGAATTGCAAGGAAGATATAAAAATGGGTACATTTGAGGTAACATGGCTCAAAGTAAGAATGTTGGAGGGAAGAACTATATCCTAAATTTCTTTGGAATACAGTTGGATGCTTAGAAGCAGCAAGTCATTTGATGCCCCTACGTTTGCACACCTGTAGAACACCTTCTTCAAGGACTTGCCACTGTAGTAAGGGGTCCCCCTGCGTACCTGGAGCAGGTGTGAGCTGCTGGGTTGACACAATCATGCACTTCACAAAGGAGACTTCCAGAGCTTGTCCAACTTGCAGAGAAAACATGCACGTGACAAATTTATACCTTCTGATATGAGTATTTCAGAAGTCCTCTTGAAGCACCTAGAAACACTTTCATTCCTTTTGTGTCACAGCATATTTTTTAAAAATGCTAAGGAAAAAAGGAAGTAAACTAGAAAACTTTTGATACTCTTTAAGATTTAAAATATGTGAGTGAGGAAGGAAGAAAAGTGAGGGAGGTATGTAGCTGTACTGCAGCTTGCCTCTCCCTCCCACCCCCCAATTTTTGCAGCACTGGATCCACTGGGCAAAATCATTTAGAAAAATGAAGTTTTAGCACGGAGTATGATCTCTTTGGAGCCAGAGGACGATGAATGACTTTTTGTAGGCCAGATATGTGCTGCCTGCAACAGACTGGCGGGGGGGGACAGACCCTTGCATTTAACTTTCTTGTATTTTGAGATAATTAATGTACAAATAAAACGGCTCCTTCTGTCAGTGACATACCCAGACACAGTCTGGGATCATATAAGAAGCACCAGGAGATAAGATCTGGTACTAGTGAGGTGCTGTACTGATACCCAATAGCATGTATGGTATTTCCTCATTCACAGGCGTGATCGCACCCCCTTTCACAGCAAATATGCTTCTACTTCTTAGCAATCTGTGCATCACTTGCACTGCAGCTAACTGGAATTGATTCAAATTAATAGTCTTTAATAAACTAAGATGTAATTAGTACTGAATATGCAAAATACTTAAAAAGCTGTTTTTCATGCCTATCGCTAAAATTAATGCTTAGATTACGGGAAAGTTCTTTCCACTATCCATTTTAAACAGAGATCAGACTTTGGCTTCTTGTGAAACTTTTGACTGAGGCCAAGGAAGGGCTGGAGAGGGAAGACAATTAGTATACTATGTCATAAAATGCAGGTAGTTTCTAACTTTTTCCCAAACAGGTAAGCATGAGTTTACATGTAATATAAATGTGTGATACATACACTTTTTTCTCTTTATGTAAAAGCATTTGGATTTCTTAAATTTTAAGATCTACAGGGGTAATGGTTTGTGACAGGAGTGGAAAAAACTGATCTGTGCCTCTTCTGAAGCCTCCTGGAAGGCCTAAATCTGGAAGAAGGAGGGTAAAGAGGGAGTAAGTACTAGGTATATATGTGTAAGGAAAAAGCTCTTTAGCACTCTCTTCAGCTTTTTGATGTCTGTAAGATTAGACTCCCTTTTTCCTAGTTTCTTTTGCTTTTATTCTTTACAGCGTCTTTTAATTTCGCAAGATTTACTTTAAGGCAAGATCAATCAATTAATATCTTGGTATTGAAATAATCAGTCTGCTGATAATTTAAAATGTTAAGGCAAAAGCCTGTTGAGACAGTATGGTCATACTGAAATATTGTGGAGGAATCTTCTCCTTAACACACTTTTCTTTTTAAACAGCTGAAAGACATACGTGCATACTATCAACATCTTCTCAAGTGCATTTATTCTACTACTCCCACATAAAAAGTAGGGAGGGAGATCTTATTTTAAAACCATTACAAAGATATAACTATTGAATTCAGGTTGCCAGAGAGATCGTTTAAGGAGGAAAACCACTGCCTCTCAACAGCAAGATAATGCTATGGGGGATGGGTGATTATCCATGAGAGAATTTTGTTGCCAAGTGTTGTAAATCTCAGCTGCTTTTCCTTCCAAACCCAGCACCTTGGGGTATGAGCTTATTGTAATATATCCTCTACTGTGCATTCAAGCTAAAACACTAGAGTATAAGCTATCACTTCAAAATGCAGCTTGTTTTCTCAGTTCTCGGCGCTGATAGGTTGCATAATTTCTAAGACAAAACTGAGAGGCTCTTTAAAAAAGAAACCCAGATCATAACACCCATGCAACGAAGTTGTAGTACCCAACTCAGATTTTTGCTTCTGGGGATGACAACTCAGAACACTGAAGTAGCCTTCTTGATGCTGCAGTTCACTCCTGGTTCTCCTTACTTAAGCCCTTATTTAACATCAGAACAGGGACAGACTATTATTTTTAAAGGTTAAGGGTGTTCTTGAGGATTTAAGCGTAAGAAGATTAGGTGTCTCTATCACAAATAGTACATTAAAACATTTAAACCCTCTTGAATCCTCATAAAAGTCCAGCATCAGAAATATTTTAAACTAGATATTTAACAGAGCTTTTCTTCTCTAGGAAGAAAAATTATAATGATTTACCGTGTTGTAATTTCTTTATGATGATCTCAAAACTAACTGAGAACAGGGTCGAGATTTTGCTGCCACAGCCTAACCTGCTGGCTACAGCTTGCAAGTTCTCCTGTTCTTCAGAGCACTTTGCTGTGGGAATACAGATATGCAGTCTCCTCTTTCCCTCACGACTGTTGCCCTGCTCACACGAGCAATGCCTCTTTGTCCTTTAACCTCCAGCAGAACTAGGGATGCGAATATGACAAGCTGAAGCAGCATTCTAATCCTGCTTCAACTATGTCGGCTTTTTTAAGAAAGGCAAAGTGAAAATAGTTTTTTTTAAAATCCAAACTCTGAAAAATCAAAGAAAACAATGGCTTATCTAGTATCTGGTTATTTGCAAAATTTGATGGTGAAAATTTGCTTTTCCCTTTAGCACATGTGTTTTTAGCTGCTGACAAAGAGCTGGAAAAAGCTAGACCCAGGGCAATAGGAAGACAATTCTGATATCCTCCAATCATGACCTCAATAGCAATACATGAACCCAAAATCAAGTTAATTTCGCTTTAAGAAAGCTATACCTGAGTGATAAGTCTTTGTTGTTGTTCTTTCCACAACTACTTGGAAGAGTATTTCCACTGGTTAATGAGCTATAGGATAACAGTTTGGTTACTTTATCCACACCTGCCTTAGCAACAAGCAGAAAGTTGTTATCCTCTATGGGAACTCTAAAAATAGTTGTTTCTCAAAAAAAAAAAAGGTAGAAATTTTCTGAGCAAAACTCATCCTCATGAAAATCTACCTGTCAAGTTTGTGTGCGAGGTATCCTTTCTTAGAAAAATCTTGTAGGGAGTGCTTAATATATGATATGCAGGGAAGATAGACAATAACCTGCCATGCTGTTTTCTCTTTTTCTCTTTTTTCCTTTCCTTTTTTTTTTTGTGTGTGTGTGTAGTTTTCTGTTGTTTGTTTGTTTTTTTTAATAGGATTTAACAGCCTACAGCACAAGATTCTTAGTGCCATGGAAGCACAGGCTAATGAGTATAATATATTTTATCAGTGGAGGCAACAGAGCTGTCAGTTGCTGGAGAACTTGGTAATTCTCTGTTATTCTTTGAGTCTTGCTGTACTTACAACTTACTTTTTTTGTGACTTAATCACTCCCATCTTGAAATACCAACATTGACTGAAACCTGAAATCCCAGTACAAGCAGCTATTTTTTCTCCTTTGGAACAGCAATAAGGCTTTGACATAACTTGACTGGAAAAAAAATTGAAATGTTTTTAGTAAAAGATTGAAAAATGGGAATTTTAGGTTCCTTTATCAACTGTTTTCCTTATTCACATGAAAGGTGATTTCTGCACAGTTCTGGGAGAGATGAGCCTTTACAGAGGCCAGTGAAGCCTTGCTTACCCAGAGCCCGGGTGACCAGGAGTGAATACTTGATGTTCATAGACAGAGAAGGATCTATCAAATGAGAGGATTCTTTTTGTGAAAATTTGTGTGAGACTTGCAGTTCAAGGCTATGATATTACAAGAGAAAGAGAATGATAAAAGGTTTTATTGGCTTGTCTCTCTTCCACCCACACAGCAAAGGAAATGTGTGTGTGTGTACACAAATAGGTATGTGTGTGCACTGAAAATAATATGCAGCTGTGACAGTGACCTGTTTTACAACAATTGTAGTTAAACACCCAATAAGTTTTGAGAAGACATTTTAAGAGGATTATCATCTCAAAAAGATTACAGTAAGGTAGCTGAATTGTCTGATTTGAGACCTAGAAGTTGGACTTAAATAAGGGTGTACCAGTTTGTTTATTTCACTACCAGGCCAGCTGAAGTGGTCTGAGACTTTCAAGACTTGCCTGGTTTATTATTCACGTAGTTAACTTTATTGCACAATAAGACAGTCTGACAAAAGTCCAAAAACTGGTATAATTGATGCTACAATACTGGTGCACTCTGCTGCATTCAGTGATGCTAGCATTATCAAATAAATCCACTTTAAATACTCAAGGAGATAAGCCCCTTTGCCCTACCACCAGAGGTACAAATACTTAATAGTATACCACCATTTGGAAAAGTTCTGCTTCCACCTGCTAATGTAAAATGAGCTGTGCATGACAGAAACAGGTTCCTAGTATGTTAAAATAATGAAATTATTTGCTTTTACTGTTTTGGAAAGCAGCAGCATCTTCCCACTAAGGAATGTGGAGCACAGCCCACTAAGTATTTGTCTTGCCCTGTCTCTAACATTGTTTAAGTTGGGGGAGGGAAGGAAGGAAAAGCTTAACTTTCTCCAACTGTTCACACGCTTCTGCAAGACAACAAATTCAAAGCTACAACCATATGTTAAGATGATGTTTTTAAGTCTGTTTATATTGGTTTCTAGAACACATAAGGCAACCAAGTTAAAAACATTTTCTCCAAGAAATTTTATCTGAACAATGAACCCTACATGATCACAGAATTAAAGCAAGTGCAAAGAGATACATGCAGGAGGTCCTTCAGAGAAGTGTCACGAGTCCCATGAGTTGTGGTTCATTTACTTCTGGTTTCTTGGTTGTGAGGCCATGTACAGTGCTATTAGACAGTAGATAGTCCCGCCTATTGTTAGAGCCATAGTGGTCCGATAAAGCAGCTTATCTGGAACTCCTCGTTTCAGGTGTACTGGCAGCCCATCTGCTTTCTGTGGGAAGAGTTTAAAAACAAAGCAAACAAAAAAAGAAATTAACACCCATACCAAGGCCGCAAGGGACAAGCTACCTCAGGTAAATTAAAGAGACTTCCATGAGGGAAACCTCCTGGCAAACAGGCTATTTATAATCAAGAGTATTCTGCATTTTTCATTTAGCAAGACAAACACAAAGGCAAGTTAATTTTATTAGCCAAAGCTGTTAAGTGCAGGCAGAAAGAATAGATCTTGAAATATTTCTAAAGAGGACCTGGATGGGAAAAGTGTCACTAACAGAAGAATGTGAAAAGATATGTATAAAAGGTTATTCACCAAGTCAGACTGACACATTCCAAATGCAAGTAGCATGTAAGAGAGAAAAGGGTACATCATATAATGCACGTTCTTGATTAAAAAAAAAAAGAAGCTTAACTGATTTGTTTTATGAAAAGTCCTAGTATGCTTAGAAATTGCATAGCTAACAAACTGGCTTTGAAACCTTTACTGTGCTCTTCTCATACTGCATTATAAACAGCCTCAGTAATATTCAAATTATTATATACAAAACAGTAATGATCTGCTTTGCTCCTCCAGAACTGCTTTGCAGCATATGCTTGGATTCCCAAGTGCTTCCAATAGCCAAATAATACAATAAGCATCTTCTGAAGCCATTTAAAAGATAGACAATATACTAGACTTTCTACTTTCTATATTTATCTCCTATACTAGGCATATATACCTTGTAGTATAGTAAAATATACAGGTTATAGTGTACACTTTTTTTAACTAGACTTTACAAAATTTTGGTACTGCAGAATGACAAAAGTAGTTAGCTACATTACAATAAGGAAAGATATGTCCCACTCTTCAGTTTTATGTTACTCTCAAAGTTGTCGTTACCTGAAAAATTTTCTGTAGGTCTGGCACCTTGTTTTTACCCAAGAAAGAATCAGTTGCTGGTAAATCTGAAGCAAGTTTACTTGTTGTCCCAAAACTCAGAGGTGGGGATTCAGTGGAAACTATTGGTTTGAGTCCCTGCATAAATAAAGATTAAAATATCAAGGTATATAACACTTGCAAATGTACCAACTGTCAAGTCAGGCAGGCGCACTGCCAGTCATTGCATGGATGTATTACAAAGTATATTTATCTGGTATGAAGACCTGTGACAATGAGCTAAAGACACATTGTTGGCCCACTCATTTTGCAGCTACAGCTTTGGGTCACGGCTTAGCAAGGGTAACAGAAGCCTCCCTTCTGATTTCTTCACAACGTAAATTGATAGCTATCGTAAGTTTTTCTGTGCTGGTACTCGTTCCAAATTGTTGCTTGTTTTTCACACATAGTCAGGCTCTATCTGAGTAGTAGGATTAGAAGCAAGAAATCCCTGATGCTTGGGTTAGAGTGAGGAGACATCAGTGAACTCTCCTGAATGCTGCAAGCAGGAGCTAACTTTTTCAGGAGCGGTCTCTGAAATTACTTCAACAGTTACTACATAATTGCAATTCCTGCTTATTGTGATCATGTCCACTTTATTTCATGAGCTCTCTGTAGTGTATAAAACTGTAAATACTGAGAACTGGAGTAAGCTGCAAAGTACTTCAGACAGTTCCATGACAAAGATACTTCTTTCATAGTTTTCAAACTCACGGATAGGGGGCTTAAAAATGTAATTAGCAACCTGTATCACTTCTGATTAGCACTGAAACTCCTGCCTCTACAGGATACCACCTGGCTGCAAGACACACTGTATTGAATTATGAGGAGAGGCTGAAGGAGCTGGGGTTATTCAGCCTGGAGAAGAGGAGGCTGAGGGGAGACCTTATTGCTCTCTACAACTACCTGAAAGGAGGCTGTAGAGAGGTGGGGGTCAGTCTCTTCTCCCAAGTCACAGGCAATAGGACTAGAGGAAATGGCCTCAAGTTACGCCAGGGGAGGTTCAGGCTGAAAGGACTATCAGATATTGGAATGGGCTGCCCAGGGAGGTGGTTGAGGCACCACCCCTGGAGGTTCAAAACACGGGTTGATGTAGTGCTGGGAGATATGGTTTAGTGATGGTGTTGCTCTTTGTTTGTTGTGTGGGTGTTAATTTTTGTCAAAATTAGGTTGACGGTTGGACAAGATGATTCTTAAGGTCCCTTCCAACCTAGAAGATTCTGTGATTCTGTGAATTACTATTAGAATAGGGAAATCAGTCGTGTTAACAACTGCAAGTTATCGTATACTTTTTCAGGCTTTAGAAATACATTCCTGTTCAGATCTCCCTTCTTTGGGAGTAATGGGAGATTTAAACCTAACTGCATCATGAAATCAAAGGAAAACATTTCAGAAAACTCATATGATCATCAGTGTACTGTTGTAAATGACTTCCAAAGCAGCATGGCACCAGTTAAGAACATCACATAGCAATTTAAATAAAAATCATTGACATGATTCAGGGAAGAGTACAACAGAACCTGCTGCAGAAGAGACAGTCCAGTGTGCCTAACATAGATACTGCAGTAATCAGGGTCTCTCACCCCAACATGAAATTCCACTTGAATTCCACCCATGAATTGTGAATCTTGTGGGCCGCTCCAACCAAGCTCAGTTAAATTAGTGTAACTGTGTGGCTGTTCCAACTGGGTATTTGTCTGTGTTTATTGAGAGAAAGTGGGAAGCGCTTTATCTCGCGCCCAGCTGCTTGCTAAGCTTAGTGTGGCTGAAGAGGAATCCTCAGTATTACATATAAGAATTTCAGCACATCATTTTTTAAGCAAGTGATTAAGGCATCTTAAATGGCCCTTAATTGCCACTTGTATTTAACATGACTAAAACTGCAGTTTTATTTAGTAACATCAGTGTATCAGTACACTCAAGATAGCACTGAGGAATGAATGCCTCTACACATTTGACATGTGCTTCATAAGAAAGTGTTTCACGATGATATTTCCTCTTCTAATAGTAAGGTGTTAATCTTAGATTTCTAATCATATTAACAGAAATTTGTTCCAATTCTTGGACAAGGTACAGTAGATGTACTCGTGCAGGAAAATCAGCATGCTACAGCAATGACTTTGTGATATGCTCAAGTCCTCAATTAAAGCTCAGAACATGTAGCTAATCCAAACCAAACAAAACTCTCTGCCTACCTCTCTGTAAAGTGTGTTTGTTTTCCTGTCAGAGGTTTGAAGGTCTTAGGACACAATCTATCTGATGGTTGGCCAACATACTCAAAACAACCTTATGCCTTGCTAGCATGAATTCCCAAGCTAGATTTACAAAAGAGTTAAGGATTCAGAGCACAAATCAATGGAGAGAGCACCAAGCAAGTTTTTAAATGTTAGGGGAAAGAAAACAGAGGTAAGGACCAAAATGAAAAGGGGAAATGGGAAAGAAAGTTAAGCTAAGAATTATTATTTCAGAACATGCAATGAAGTAACTTTTATGAACTTGCTGAACCTAGACACTTCTAACATAAATACCAGGTCCTTCGTAGTAGAACATGCCTCACTGCATGAGGTAAAAGATATTTGTTAACACAAACACAAGGATGCTTTTAGGTAGGAACCTTTGAAGCTTTGTTTGTATTGGGATGACACAAGTAAAAGTGGCTTTGTGTACATTTTAAGTATCATCTACAGCATAAAAGGTTAAACATTATAGTTCCTCAATGAACTCCAAGCAATTCCAATGAACTCTCCAGGTTAAGAGCTGGGGTTGTTCAGCCTAGAGAAGAGAAGGTTCTGAGGAGACCTTATAGCAGTCTTCCAGTGCTTAAAGAGGGCCTACAGGAGAGATGGGGAGGGACTCTTTATCAGGGAGTGTAGTGACGGGACAAGGGGTAACAGTTTTAAAATCAAAGAGGTATTAGGAAGAAATTCTTTGCTGTGAGGGTGGTGAGACACTGGAACAAGGTGCCCAGAGGAGCTGTGGATGCCCCATCCCTGGAGGCGTTCAAGGCCAGGTTGGATGGGGCTTCGAGCAACCTGGTCTAGTGGGAGGTGTCCCTGCCCATGGCAGGGGGGTTGGAACTCAGTGATCTCTAAGGTCCCTTCCAACCCAAAACATTCTATAAATTCATAACAGATAAAATCAAAAGATCTGTGGTTTGTGGGGGTTTTAAATAGCTACAAGCAAAATAAGTTGCATCAAGTGAAGATAGGGTAGTATGACTGAATTTCTACTAGGCTCACAGTCAGCCTTGAACCAGGGAAAAGTTCATATAGTCATCCTCACCTGATGGCATTTGAAACTGGTGTCACTATCTGTACTTAAAACATAAGCCAATTCTGAATTAATAGTTTTTATTGTATTTGTAATGGTTATGGCAGTTGTTATCCTCCTAAATATAAGCAGTAGTTTTTAATCTATTTGACTCCTCACCTGCACTGAGAAAGTTCCCGTTTATTTAACAGGCTAAATTGTTCCTACTACTTTACATAACTTTGTTAAATACAAAATTAAATCTTTTAAGAATGCTAAGACTGAGATGGAAAGAACAATACAGGTTTCAAACTAAGATTTTTTTTTTTTGTTAATGTTTTTTTTTAATTATGTTACTGTCAGCAAAGGAATTTCTGAAATACATTTTGACTGATATTTTAAAAGCCCATAATAAGCTTAAAACCTGCAGCAGAACAATACTCCATTGGGAAGCATCATAATGTAACAGTATAGAATAGAGTGAATTATTATTCTATATATTTGACCAAGCAGAATTTGAACTGCAGGATGTCTTCATTTTTCCGGAAATATAAAAATAAATAGAAGCATGAAAAGCAAACCATTTTACATGCTGAGCTATGGTTTTATTAAATACAACAATGAAATCAATAGGAAAAAACTTACTTTGTTTAGGACTTAAGACCTATTTACTCATGTGATTCCTTTCATATTTTAATCTCTATTTATTGCAAACAATTTTATCAGACTGAAAAGTCTGACTGTGTGACCTGGGAGTTGAGTCAAACTAAAAAAATAAAAAAAGTTCTACCAAAAAGCTGGCCTAAGAACATTGTAAAGCAGGATTGAAAGTAACTTTTAAAAATATAAAAAACATAGCTATTCTATTGCATAGCATAGAATAGCTAAGTGTGCCACAGTTGTGGAATAAACTGTGTGAATGGTGAGCCAGCTATGGAAGACAGTGTTGCTTTCATCAATACAAAAAACCCCACAGTTATAAAGCAAGACATTATTTGTAAAATGCTCCTGCTTGGATACAATCTCATCTTCTCAACTGTATTTTCTCAAAAAAACAGGTTTTGATATTTCAGTGATGACACTGAAATGAAAAACAATGCCCAATGATGACCTAAAAAGAAATCACTACAATGTTCTAAAAGAAAAGTATTTCTATTCCTTGGATATTCTCTTTCCTGCCTTGCAGAGTAAGAAAGTGAGATCTGTCTAGACTTTTTTGCCAGCTAATTTTGCATAGACCCTTTACAAACCGATTTTGATATATGACACTACAGCATTTTAATCGAGACAATGTCAATAATTCAGAATTTATCATGTCTTTCTGCATCTAGTGCAACGATACTCATACATACCTAATATTCATTAACAGAACAGAATGTGGGATAACAGTGAATTCTGTGTTCTTCTCTTATCTTGCTTCTCCCTTTTTAATCCCTAAAAAGAAAGATGTCCTTAAAAGGGGGTGATTTGTTACTATGTAATGGAGCCTCCTGAACAGAAAAGTAAGCAATACTCCACAACCTGGGCTCCAGAAGCCAAGAGTGTTGTCTTTAGGACAACCTTACTCCAGGTGGTTATCAGAGCTTTCTGGGTTTCTGTGATGTGCCTTTTCTCTTATGATCTTGGAAAGGACGTATTGTTTGCAGAAAAATAGTCACAATATAGCTAGAGACTAATGCATACTGTTCTAAACTATACTATTCCAGAAAGGGGGCTTGGGCATGAAGCCCCAAAGGTAATCCCAGTGGTAACCGTAGCTTTTGTTTTCCTCTACACAGATGAAGTATCTTTGAATATAACCTTGTGTAGAAGAGGCAAGAAGTGACCCAAACACTGCAATAGTGACTTCATTGTCTTGATAACCTCCCTGTAGCTGCTGACTGGCTGGTCTTAGGTCTGCACATGACCCCTGCCCATACATTTTCTCTTCTCCAGGTAGAACAAGCCTCATTTCCCCATCGTGTCCTCACAGGGCAAGTGCTCCCTCACTCCTACCATCTTGGTGACCTCTGCTGAACTTGTTCCAGTTGATCAAGAACATTCCCACACTGGGGGGCCCACAACTGGATGTGGTACCTAGATGTGATCCAATGAGCACTGGGTAGAGGGAAATCGTCACTGTCCTGGCTCACAACCAGCTTGCTGTCTGGGGTCTCTACCAGAGCTGCTCCCACCAGCCTGTCAGTTCCCAGCTTGTTTTCTTGCCAGGGGCCCTTCCTTCCCGCGTGCATAACTTTGCCTTTTTCCTCCATGGAAATTCACAGTGTTCCTATCAGCTCATTTCTCTAGTCAAGATAGGTACTTCAGAACAGCAGCTCTTCAAACATTTTGGAGCCACTGCCATGATGTCTTCTGTAAACTTGGTAAGAGTGCACTCTATTGCCTGCTCCAGGTAACCAATAAAGTCCTGCAGTAACCTGCAGTATTCCACTTGTTATGAGCATCCTGGCAGAGTATAACACATTAACCACTGTGCTAAGCCTGGTTATCCAGTTCTCCTTCATCTTTCTCATTGTCTATCCACCTAAGCTGTAACATCTTAACCTCAAAATTCAAAATTTAAAGCTTTGTAGTTGGTCTTAGCGCCTTGAAACAATTTGAGATTCTTTAAAATCTTAATACAATATTCTTGTTTGCAGAAGAGACTGGATTTTCCAAGTAAAACTTGCATAGTCAAGGATACCCTGGAAAACAGAAGTGTAAACCAGGTTGCTAACAGAATTAGGCTAGGAATGAATGAAATGGAGTTATTTGTGTAACACAACACACAATAGTCTAAAAGAATGTAGTTTCTTTGTTGCCTTTTATTAATGAGTTTTTAAGGAAAAAGACACACTATAACTTTTAGTTCACGTCTGTGCATACACATGTATCTACTTTTTTTTTTTTCTCTTAATACCTAAAGTCATATCAGATATGTTTGTTTTCTGGAGGCAGTTCTTTGGAAGGCTGACTTTTAAAAAATCGTTCTTCCAATCCTTAACCTCTAGGTTTTGGGATCTTTTTTAATTACTAAACTGTAAGAGGAACCTAAGTTTTTCAAAGTTTACTCAGAAACTTGAACATGGTATGGCAACCCTGTTGCAACTTCCCCGTGACAGGATCACATTACAAATCTTCCTAGTTTACTTAAGAATCTGTGTTGACGTACATAAAAGGAAACAAGGTCCGTGATTGTTTTTTTTCGCTAACATGCAACTCGTCAATGCCTTGAAATGGCTGATATAATCAGGATCCACTCTCCCCTCCACTCCTCCAGAATTAGCTATGTACTTTAAAGTATGCATTAAATAGGATTATATTTTCCAATCTTTAACCTGTATACACTTAGTAAATACATCAGCATCATATAAAGAAAAGGCTGTTTTTCATTTTGCTTTAAACAGACTTCGATAGATGTGCTTCCTCTCTAATAAGGATTTTAATGCTGTCAGTAATTAGTTTTTCTGCATGCGTAGACAAGAGACTAGCTACGGTGCTGTTCAGATTTGCCAACTGCGACTTTAAAAAAAGCCAAGGCTCTAGCTCAAGGGCAGTCGTACGTGGTGAAAGCGTGTTAATTTCTTGCTACAACACCCAACGCATGCCCAAACTGAACTAAGAGGTGCAGGGCAGCACGAAGGGTCGCCCAAGGTCACGGGCCAGGCCGGGTACGCTAGCGGCACGGTGAGGGGGGGGAGCGGAAAATCCCTCCCCAGCGAAACAAGCCCCCGCCAGGTCCCGAAGGCCCCGGCCGGCGAGACCATCACCACAGCAGCCGCCAAGCGCCCTCCGCCCGGCAGCACGCACTCCCCCGCCACCTCCAGCTCCCCGCGACACCCGCCCGCCCGCCACCACCGCGCGGGGCTGCGTCTTCCCCGGCGGCCAGAGCCCCCGGGGGAGCGAACGGCGCCGCGCAAGGAGGAGGAGGACGGCGAAGGTCACCGCCGCGAGGGCGCCCAGGAGGAGGGCGGCAGCGGCGGCGGCCCCGTTACCTGGGGGTTGTAGGCGGCGGAGGCGGCGGCCTCGACCAGCCGCTGCGTGACGCCGCTGAACTTGTAGTACATGGCTGGGGGCCACCGGCACGCGCCCTCCCAACGGCCCACCGGCTGCGGCGGCGGCGGCGACGTCTCGCGCGGAAGGACCCCAGCCGGCTCGCTGCGACGCCTTAGCCTGCCCAAGGCCCGCTGGCTCGCGGGCCCCCGCCACGAACGCCTGCGAGCGGTGAGCCTCGGGAGGCCGCCAAAGAAGCGGGGTGAAAAAAAAAAATCTGATGAAATACACGAATCGTTCCTCAAGGCGTTGGGAGCGCCTCTCCCCCTCTAAGGTCTGCCGCTCCCAAAGCGAGGCTGGCGGCAACTTCCAGTCAGGCAGCAAGCTGGACCCCTAACCGGGCGAGCCGCAGTGCGCGTGCGCACCACTGCAAGAGGAGGAGAATGCGAATGCGCACGGGTAAAACAAGGCTCGTGTGCGTGGTGGTCACCCCACGGCGGCACAGCCCATCCTGTCCCTCCTGAGGCCTGGCGGCCCCGGCCGTCCCTCAGCCGCCTTACTGCTGGCTGAGGCAGTGGTCTCTGTTTCCCGTCCCTCAGCCGCTGCCTTGTACCCGGCTGAGGCAGTGGTCTCTGTTTCTCGGGCTGTGTGCGCTTCCCGCTGCTGAGCTCGGGGCCTCAGACTTCGGGGCAGCCGAAGTGGTGGCCTGAAGTGTTTGTTTTCTGATAGAAATTAAGAAGGGGCAGCAGAGGTTTTGTTTCCTGGCGCCTAATTGCTGTGCCTCCACTCCGTCAAGTGATTCCCTTCTCTCCCACCATCTTTTGAAAGCATCTGAAACCTCTAATTTGTTTCATAAAGTGAGGTTTTCATTCAATGAAATCAGCACTGTGAACTTGGGGAGTGTGATATGATGCTGCTTCTGTTGTGAATTTAATCTTCCTGATGAAAGCCCAGCAGCCCGGAGGCTGAAGGTGCAGCGTGGTTGGGTTTTGCCAGGCTTACGGCTCAAGGGCCTGTGGGTGTTGAGTGATCATTTGGCTTCTGTGCATGCCTTGGGCCATAGACGGTTGCCAACTGAGATATTCTTGTTAGTAATCCAGAGGATCCTGCTGTTATCAGAGCCTGACAGTGCAAATTCATCATTTGAGCTGACCCCGTGAATAGCCTTCTGTTGGTTAAGATTAAACATACTGAAGCTTTATTAAAAAAGGATTATTTGTTGGTAATGTTTAATCATTAGCAAGCTGCACCAGTTAGAATATTGCTTGTTAGGAGTCCCATATACATTTTTGCAGATAGGCTTGCTATAAAAATATCTGTGGTCATGCACTGAGTGAAAACTATTAAAATATACTTTGCTTATAAACTGGAGGAAGATCTATTTAAAGGAGATGTTTTAGAAAGTAAAATACCCATATAAAAATATGTATGGTATGGTTTCTTTACCCACCCGTGTAACGCCTTCTCCTTAGTTTTTAGAATTAGAGTTTGGTGGCAGGAAAATGGAGCCTTGAGTGAGTCCCCTTGGATTTATCCCCTTCTGAACAGACATGTTCTATACAGGATAACAGCTGCTCAGTAACGAGGAAGGACCCTGTGAGCCCTGTGTGTCTATTTACTTCTGGCTGTGAACCAGAAGCATAGGTCCTTGCTGCTCTGGTTCTTACCTGCACCTGTTGCCCTACAGTCAAGTTTTTTTCATGGTGAGACTTCAGTTCCACAAACTCTGTCTCTGCTGTCCTCTCAAGGAGAGAACCAGCTGGATGCTCCATACGTGATACCCTGAGTTGATGTTCTGACTCTGTGGTAGGAACATTAACTGGAGAGGATATGTTATTTGCTCTGTAAGTAGGAAATTTATGGAAATATTTTGGAAATGTTACAGGACGAATTGTGAAATCCCTGTAGCTTTCAAGACTAGGCAGCATTAATGAACTGGAACATGTGCTGCGTAATTTATGGTAGAAAAGAATTTGCTGATCAGGATTCTACTTATTTCTGAGAAAACTAAAATAGAAGTTATGTTTGATTTCAAATCTGCCTGTAATGGAGCAAAAGGCCCTGAAGATGGGGTATACATATTCTTTTAGAGTGGAATGCTGTGGATCATGGCTAGGCTTGTGTGGTAGCAGTTCTGACCTACTGAAATCCATGTGATCTGGCTTGTATTATAACTACTCTGGAACCTTCCCTGGGTATATCTCTCTGCAAATGCAATATAACTCCTCCTGTCCAGCTCTTTCAGCATTTTCCAGAAGAAATGGATGTTCCTGGCAAGCTCACTTACTGTGTTTGTTTTATATCTTGCTCTTCTACCTTTATTTCCCCAATATTAATACGTGCTACAATCCCAGAGGAACACGGGTTTTGTGGCAGGTCAGGCAGGGAGATAACACCATTGTATAACTAGTTCTTGCTCCATTGATGCTCTTGATTGAAGTTCTTGAAAAGTCATTTAATATTGACTGAAAGCTGCAGGAAGGAAAGGTTTGTGCCCTGGAGCTCCAAAGAGGCTGTGAAAAACGTACAACTTTATCCTTTATTTTTAGTTAATCAATTTAAGTGACAATATTTAGAAGTTAGCTGTGAAACTTCTCTGCTGCAAGCTGTTGAAATAAAACCTAGGTGCTCTCTCTCTCTTGTTTTAGCTCACAAAATCGAAGGTGGGGAATTGTTTACCTTGTAAGAGAGGTGCATGGGAGAATGACATGAATAACATTACAAATGAAGCTTCTGCTGTTGTTCTTGTAGCGCAGGAGAACGGGGACATTATAAGAACAGGGAAGTAAAATCAGAACAGCATGAAGTCTTTCCTTTAAAGAAAGAAACTTGGTTTTGCCCTAGATTTCTGGTACATCTTTTGCTTTAGTCTCTAGACTTTTGCTAACACTGTTTTGCTTATCAGGCTTTCTGACATAATGGATAATTAGATTGTGAAACTGACTGCCATAGGAAGTAATTGGAACCTAGCAGGGTTCAAAGAAAGACTAGGCATCTTTGTGAACCATAAAACTATGTACAGTTAATGTAAACAAAGTGCCCGGAAGGAAGAGACTTCCTGCATTGGACTTTAAGCAGAACTCTGACTTTTAGACACCAAGATGAATAATTCATGGGGACACTGTCAGCTCTACAGCTGGTTTGTTGGGGATTTTATATCTTCATCTAGTATGGTATTGGCAGCAGCTAAAGACAATACTATTCTACAGGCTACACTGTAGTTTGATCTATTTAATTTTTTTCAAAAATTTTCAGGTGACTGATTTCATACATGCAAGTTTGTTTATGATGGCTCATTCCTAGAATAGCACTAAGACTATGCTTCAAGATGAGTAGCTTTCTGAAAGTGAATGAAAGAAGCAGAGTACCTTGAGCTTATTCTGCTTTTTTGTTGTTGTTGTGGTTTTTGTGTATTTATTTTCTTTTTGAGGATAAAATAAATAAAAAACAAGACCTTTTTCTGTTGCTTAATGAACGGAATCTTCATATGCTGATCATTATTTCAGCACAGATGTCTGTAACTCAAATTCTGTGAATCTGCCCATGCAGCTCTGTTCTTGAATTGCTGAGAACAACTGTGTGGGTGAATTTAGAACATGAAATTGCCATGTGCGCCTATGTTTTGTTTATGCAGGACTTTTTTTGAAGAGTACTAGATTGGATTTCCTTAATATTTGCTTTGTGTTCTCTGTGTGTGCATATACATAATAGATACAAACCCCCAAATTAGAAGATGGTCACCAAGCATAAGCTCTATTAATGCAAGATGTTCGATTTGAATCATATTATCAAGTGAAAGAAATATATTAATTCTATGTGCAGAATAAGATAGTAGTTACTTCTAAAGCCTGAATTTATTGATGCTCTATTGCCTACATGTACTGAATACAGCACAGATGACTCTTGGAAATAGACTGCTATTGTCAATTTTAAGAGATTTCTCTTTGATAGACTTAAAAATACTGAAAATTAATAAAAATAGGTTTTAATTTTAAACTGTTCATTCAGTTACATAATAAAAACTTTGGTTAAATTTATATTAATATTGTATCTTTCTCATAGCAAAATTCTTGCTTTTTTTTTTTTTTTGAGGGAGATGGGATTAAAGGCAGCCATTTATATCTTTTCTGTGTTTAGAAATAATTCTATATTGTTTCATGGGCACTTTTTTGTCTTGACATAAGATTTCTGCATGTGAAATACTTGATAGCTGTAGTTACTTAAAAGCAATAGCAATTTTGGCAATAAGGGTGTTGTGTTTACTGTAGTAGATGGGGATCAGGAATCTTTTAAGGGTGTTGAATTCTATTTAGGGGTATATACTTCTTGTTACATACGTATAATAATCTTTCCAAGTTCTCAGGCAGAACCTGTCTGAGAATGTAAATAAAGGAAGTGAAAACTTGATGATATAATTACTGTAAAGCCTAATGATTGCATAATACTTCTGGGTCAATAAGTTATGCTTTTTATAGACCATTTATCTGCAGTTACGTGTTACCTGTATAAAAGAAGAATGGAAATCGTGAAAGCAATAGTTTATTCCAGGTTAGCAAGGAAGTGTTCTTTTATCCCCCAATCTCCAGATATGAAAAGCATTATAGGAACCTACAGTAAATATTGCTTTCGCTACTTTTCAGCTTTGTTGTCTTTGCTTTTTTCCCCCCTTTATTTTCAGAATTGCAGAAGCGAAGGTAAATTTTTCATCTGACTGAGACATCAATGTTAGCTGTCAATAAAATAATAATTACCTAAAAGCCCTATTTATTCTACTTTTGAGAAAGTAATCTTGAAATCCCCAGGCTCTATCTCTCTGGCTTATAACAATACCCACTTCTGAAATGCAGTACTGGAAGTTTGGGTACTTTGCCTCTTGCTCTTATCTTTGATAGGGACACCCATAGCCCCAAGTTTCTGTCTGAGGGCTTTCTGCTCTGACACATTTTTTTCCTTTACAACCAGAAGGGAAATCTCATGACAGCAGTACTTTATTCTTCCTGAACTTTTCCTTTAAGCATTATACAGGTAGTGAAATAGGTTCCCAAGTTAAGTGAGCAGTATCTCTGGACATTGAGAGGTAAAATGTATGTGCAAGGTTTTCTGTCTTCACACTGCTGCCAAAGTCTTCCTTCAACTCTTCCTTCTTCCTCCCTAGGCTATAAGTGTTGGTCTCAAAC